CATGACAGAAAATTTCCATACAGGAAGCTTTCACATCAAACAGCCGAAACGTCCGAAACCTAGCTGTGATAGTGTGTACCATTTACGGAGACTCATCAGAATCAGTGTCGTTAACATCTGAACAATTAAAAACAAGTGGGACTTTGTGTACCAACCGACTTTCTCAATTAATATCAAGTCAAACTGGACTATGAAAGGTACACATTAGTGCTAACGGTAAAAGAAGAAAGGTAATGTGTTACCTGCACAATGATCAAGTCGGCCTAATTGCTCGTAACACAGAGAACCTTGCACAGGAAGAGAGAACTGAGTCTGCTGAAAGCACAGCATGAAGGCGACGGCGACTGTATGTTCTTAAGATTCCGAAAGAAAATAGTTACTGAAGGTGCAATTTACGCTACTGAAGTTATTAGTGACAGAAATGGCGTTTCCGTTCGTGTTCGAAGTGTGATAATTCCATGAGCTCCATGTCAATGACGGATTAATGATTACTGAAGAACAGACGAATCCTACAGCACGAGGACTAGGCCCTATATTACTGAAGTAGCGACGTATATTAATAAAAGTAATGAATGTACGTAGTAAAATATTTATATTCGGTTCGAATCCCACTCAAGACATGGATGTTTGTCCGCGTCTTTGTGTGTAGAGGCCTTGCGACGAGCTGATCACTCGACCAAGGAGTCCTACCAAATGTCCCATAGATCAAGCAGACCCTGCCAAAGCGGGACAAATTCTAAAGAGGAAAAAAAATATATTGGACACGCGTCTGGCAGCACGCTTTGCTGGCCCGAATGATGAAACGTATTCTTAAGCAAAAGACGCATCAGTGGGTGACAGTAATACCAGTTACCATTCAGTCAAAAATCTTTTGTCTTTAAGTCTCCCACCCAAAAGTGTAAGAATTATCTAAAGTGCAGGCTATATATTACCAAACGATTTGAATGATTCTGTACAGCAAACTGGACCAGACTGGAGAGGAAGACTGTTGACTGATTCTACTCACCTTATGATCTTGCGTTTATTGTTGGGATGAAGACTTTGTGCCATGTCAGGGTCCACCGCTTGTAGCCTCTCATACAGCTGCGGACTTGGCAAATGTTCCAGGGCGGCCTCATCCATCAAATCCACAGTAACACCCTGCACTCTCAACTTCTTACTTTCTGTGTTCTCGTCATTCAGTGCCTCCAGCATCCTCTTCCTGTCACGCTCATACACTAGCTCAGTATCTACCTCAATTTCTGGATTCTTGTTATGCAAGCTTACTACCTGCTCATTAGTGACACTTTCCACTTCCTCCATAACTTCAGTTTTACAGCACACTTTTACGTTGGTACGCATACTACTTAATTCTGCACTACCCACCGGGCAGCCGTCGAGACTTTTCTCTCTGAGCATACTTCTGCTTTCATCAACATGGTCTCTACCAACATTTCCACTATGCGACTGGCTCTGTATGACTGGCTTTGGCATATCACCACCACGGTCTATGCCTTCCTCAATGTTCTCGTTTCGAGTAAGCTCTATATCATTCTTTTCACAGAATACTGAATTCTGGGTTTCGGTAGAGTCAGAACTACGACAGTCCACTTCTTTATGACACTCGGTACTCTTCAGATTTGGCCCCTCTAAAACACAGTTCACTTCTTGCCCATCTTGTGCCTGCCTCTCTTCACTGTGCACTTTTATTTGACATCCAGTATCAAAGGGTTTCAACCCCACGCCACATGCTTGACACTTGATATTTTGGACCTCGTCACCACAATCCAAAGCTCTCTTTCCACACTTCGAAACAAAACTACGTTTATCAAGATCCTCATTTTGACAGGTGACATCCTGGAGCTTATCACCACAGCTATTACCATCAAGCACTATCTGCTTTACAGACAATGACTCAGTATTGTCAGCGACATGTTCTTTCAGTGTTCCACCATCACTTGAACCATCACTGTGTGTTTCCTCATCGTCACCGGGCAACTTCATCTGTTTTACTGGATTCTCCACTAGAACTTTCCACAACAGTGACTCGATATAATAATTGGTGCCTCCCACAATCACTGGTAATTTACCATCCTGCATCAACTTCTCTATCTATTTTTTTTAGTTAAGAACAATAATGCAAGACGAAACCAATGAAAAACTTCTCATCAATACATTTGCATCCCACAGACGTACAATTTGACGCAAAACAGTTTAGTGATTGTCTACCGACTGCAACGAGCAAAAGCAGGGATTTTTCTGTTCGAAATCACTGTGTGTAGACTGAACAGGGAAAATATTACTAAGAAGTAAGATGACGTAGAAAGCCTCAGGAGGGTCACTAGTCCCATATGTAGATAAGGGAAGACAGAAACAGAGGTGGTAATAAAAAAGAGACACGCAAACAGTCGCAACAGATTCATTCCATAACCTTACCAAATTATATTCGTACAAATCTTATTTATCATTATATGCAACATAATCTCTACAGTTAATATGTATTTACAAATTAAAGATTACGTGTTAGTGGTGTATGTACTTGAACAATAAGGATACTACAGGCAGAGCTCTGTTCCGGAAATCTACTACGGTGAAACGTTGCAGCGGCTCCACGATGTCCAACAAATGATGTGGCGCCAGAAGTCGTTCTTCGGCCGTCACTTTATTCGTAATTATATCCAGCCCTTTGTACACCTACAAAGCAAACACAAATGCACAGTTATTAAGTGTTTTGCAGAACAGTGTGCATGGCCCAGGGGAGGAAACTGATTTTCAGAACTAGGTAGACGTCCTAGATCAGTAAAAAAAGCTCGAGGAACTGACCAACATAAATAATAACAGGAATTACTAAATTGCTGGTTCGGGAAATGGCCTTCGTTAAAAAAGTGCTAAGGAGATAAACAGACCGTGCCTGCCAGCACCTACGCCCATTCCACATTCCAAGTCATGTGTTGTTAACATTATACAAATGAATCTGACCATTTGTGATACAATTTCCAACCTAATCGATTGGTTAAACAAAGTATATAGGCTGAAGGAAATCCAATTGTCGGCTGTCAGCTACAGCAAAATTAACATTTCCAAATGTAATTATCCACTTTGTGACCAATTATTTTCTCAAACAGACCACTATCATAAACATATGACTGCCTCGCGAACAGACGGAATTTTATAGAGCCGGGCTCATATCTATCCAAAGACGAATTCATCTTAACAGGATCCAAACAAAACTGAAGATAGAAGACACTTGAGTACGAAACAGCACGCTCGTCCTCAACCATTAAAAACAAAGCAATGCCACCTGTTTTAACATTCAGTCATTCTGCGTTCTGCACACAGAGTGTATTTATAGGTTTCCTGTTTCTAAGAATACACAGTGACTCCTTATCTGATTAGCATTAACCAAATTATTTTGTGATGAAAACTTTTTCTTCTGTGAAGTAAAAAATAGATTAGACAAAATTAAATAAGCCTTGTGATTTAAACTGCCAAGAATTAATATACTGCGCTATATTCCATAACTGCTGGTTGATTCCTCCATCCCAACAACATGAGCAGTGCCACTGTAATAATACGACCCTCTTAACAAGAAAGGGGCTCCAACAACAAACTTTTAACTGCAGTCATACAGCAGAAACGGAAGCTTCGACGCTCCTACTAATTAAAGCCACCATTGAAAACTGAATCACTTCAATCAAGGCGATATTTAAAACACAACCATTTCAATACTATCCTCTCCTTCCTGGTCTTCCAAGGGATCATTTTCAAGTGGTCTCCACAACAAAACTCTACGCGAACTTATTTCCCCCATTAAAGCTACACCAAAATTACAAACATTTGTATTTCCTTTCTTTTATCAATACTTATAGAAACAAAACCATAGTTCGTGATTGAAAAATTCCTTCATCTCATGGTTTTTCTCATTCCATTCACTTGCATACCGCATCTGAACAGTAGGCAACATTTATTTCGCCTACATGATGATGCGATAAGCAGTTCAAAAAGTCTTCTTGACGGGAAACATTCGTACAACCCCTGTGCAACACACAAGTCATAATGAACAAGAAGTCCGGTAATGGAAGTCACTGAAGTGTGACGGTGAATGCGATCTTCGTTCCCGAGAATGTGGATTCGAACTCGAGCAGAACATAATGGTTTCTTTCCGTCGTCGTCTCAGACACCGTTAAATGTTCTGACAAGCATCAAGACTCGCCGAGATGAAGATGGGGCGACTATGTAAAAGATTATATACGAGAAGCATCATAAATGAACGAAAGAAGCAAGTTAGGAGATGGGAGTACAGTAATAAAATACATACAAAGATGCGAAGTTCCGGGAAAATTCGGTATGGAGGCCAATGGCGGTAATGAACAATCGAATTTTATCAGGTAATTATTGCCTACTTACGGAAAACCCTGCACCATGCAGATAGTAAGGTTAACATTAGAGAGCTCTGCATATGGAGAATGTGGTAGCGACATGTCTCCATCGCAGTATCCGGTTCCAAACCAGACCACGAAGGAGATATGCAGATAGGCAGTTTTCGTGGTATTCTTCGTTATCTCCAGGCAAATTTCAGAGCAATGCTTTAGAGCAGGCCAAGACCACTTCCTACACACACACGCCTTACGATTCAGAATTCAGAATTAAATTACTACAATTCAAAGAACCCGCTGGAATGTCCCAAGCAAAACCATGAAGTTTCTCAGTCAAGGTAACCAGTAGGCCTTGCTATGGCCAAGACTGGAACGATGTACTTCCTAAACGTGTTACTCTTGTGTCAACCTTCTAGATTAGATAACTGAAGAGACGGGTCGATTCTGAAAGCATTCCCTAAATAATGAGACCATCAAAGTTTAAATAGTCCCTAAAATGCTAATCCTACCAGACAAGCCGTGTTTCTCCAACATGCTTCCCGAAACAGCAAATAACATCTTTCGTATTCGAATACAAATAGTGTTGTAAGTTGATACATACTAATAAAATAATCAAATAAATTATACTTAATGACAGAGAGCAACGATATGATTTGGTCCAGGCTTAATAATTAATTTCACACTAAGAAACTGGACACTGAAGTTCATGACTCGTGCTTTGGACTCGATCCCTGGACTTGTGTGAATAATTGGGCAGTCGATGAACTGACCAGAGCGGGTTCAAGGCGGACCACGACAACAAACACTGCTGCAGTCCCTTATGCAGGAACAGTTAACGATGGGCCCTGTCCTAATCCAGCTGTGCCCACTTCACATACATAAAACACAATTTTAAGATCGGTCTCAATTCCAGTAGGTTCCTCCCTTGACATGTGCCACCACTTCTTGTCGATGTTGGTCGACGTCTTCACCGCCAAGAGAACCTCAAATTCGTTAACTACTGTTTAGCAAATATAACATTCAACGAATTGTACACAAAAGGGAACGCGCCCACAGTTTCGGCGTTCACCGACAGACCTGTATGAGGGACTCACACCAGGAATCGAAGACCAAGCTCAAAAATTGGGGGAAAAAATCTATTATACTGTTTTCACGTTTTAGATCACGGGTCCTCGCCGTCTCTCGTCTGACACAACTCCTCGGCTCTTCCAAACTTCCAACGCTACTGTCCCATCCCCAGAACAATTCCTTTTATGTTTCTTAAAAAAATAATATCAGTAATTTCTAATTCCTCTATTTATTCATTTATTTCTTTATTTCAACAAGCTCAATGTTATAATTTACACTGAAAACATTATATTTCATAGGTCTATGCATAATAAATATAAACAAAACACTAAAACAAATATTATATACAACTTAAACCAATGCAGAATAGTATCAAGCAAAATAAAGAAAAAATCTAACTTGATTATTATTATAATTATCACAAACAGCGTGATAAACAATATTATTATTTTTAATTGTTAATATGAGGGTTTCCACTGCTCTTTTACTACCAACTGTGGCCCAAAATGTTTCGCTCCACCCTTCAAATGTACAAAAGCCAATGAAAGGAGAAGGATGAGGGAAAAAAGATAAGTAAAACAGTTTAATAATCAGGGATGAAACCCACTGAAACGCTCTGAGAAATCAAAACTTAAATTTCCTTCCATTAAAGGCAAAGACAAAGTTGACTCCGTGCCTCCATTGGTACAACGGACAGTGATAGAGATGAGGGGTTTAGCTTCATGTTCAGACAGCATTAACTCGAGGAAAAGTGTCTCATTACCCACGAGATAGGAGATTGGCTGGATCCCACAGTAGTGGCGAAGACAAAAAATCCTCCTTTCACGGGAATCCATTGTCGATCGTCCAGCCTAAAGGTACTCAACAACAAACAAATCTCTCTCAACAGACCCCGAAGTTTGAACACAACCGATCCTGGATAGTTTCATCCAGTTTAGCGATATCCTGCCGCACTAACATCCTGGATATTTAACTACAAAACTCTTCTCATATGGGCTAAGTACTCTCATCATACTATTGACAGTCACACATCAGACGATTCTGAAAGAACCGCATTACATCCTCCTGCAGTGGAATTTCCCCATACCTGTGCCACGTCTGCAAGAACTACCTGTTACTGACCACACGAAATTCTGACTGGGCTCGACTCCCGACTGCGGATATTCTGTCACTGACTGACAAATTTCAACGGGACAGTCGGACACAAGGAAATAATTGCTAATAAACTTATTTATAATTCTGTGTTATTTAATTTGAATGTTCATCAACATCGTCAGAGAAATGTACCCCTGAGACGAATGATCTAGTTCAGACAATTAAAACCTATTTCTTTACCGTTAATTTTAATATTGTTTTTCCATCTATGTTGTTTGTGCACTATAGAGTTTGCTGTCATTGTCATTAACAGAGCGAGAATAGAAGTCAATAAAATTCTCCTTTTCCACCTTTTTTACCCGTCCTTGCTACCACATCCCCATCTTAAAATTATTCTCGTAAATAGGTCTACCTGCTGGATTTAAACTACTTTCTAAATTATAAACGTAATATTTAACGGTGTCAGTAAAAACTAGCACAGCATTTCGTATCATAAATCTAATTTCTTTTAAATAAATATCGCTCAAAACATCTCATTATAGAATAAAAATATAATTCAGGCTACGTCTTGCGTAATTTTAACAGTTTCCCCGAGGTCTGTATTCTTTCGTATCTTCACAGTGAGCGCAAGCAACCCGGAATTGGCCTTTACACAACAAAGATTTTCAATGCAGGACCTGCATTTTACAAATGTAAGGAACAGAAGGAACTTATAAGGACGACCCCTCATCCAAATGAGATTTCTGATGTTTACGATTCATTGCTTCGGTTTAGTTACCGTACCGCCCATGGGCAGGGCATTTCCATAACGTTGCCTTGGAAATTTTTTATTCGATTTAAAGTTTAAAGCGTAAATAAATATAGGGATCAGTCTGACAACTTATCAGATATTTAATAACCCGGATTCTATTGGCCGTCCAAGAATGTTTCCGGCTGCTAGGAACCGCTGAAGCAACAGACACGCTTATTTGGAGCTCTTGCGACTGAATACTACTGACTACTGAAACTTCTCCTCATTCAGGAAACAGAGGCTGGCTGACTGACTGACTGTTATTTTACTTGGTTTAAATTACTTCTGAAGTTATGTAGGTTTATCATCGAATAACAAAGGTGGGTTGGTTGTAAATTACAAACTGAAAGTTGTAGGACGAAGTG